AGGTGGTCCTGGAATCCAAACCTCAGTGGATACCAAAGAGCCCACTGTGTATGCTTTTTAAAATATGAATGCAGAAAGTTTTTTGTACAGCTTCCTGTCTCTCCATACATCCTTTTTTTTTGTGTGTGTGGGGAGGGTATTGCTATCATTTGTAATATTGCTATCAGTATCAGCTTTTTAAGAGTTTCCCACCATGATGTACTCTTGACTTCTCAAATATTTTTACCCATAGGGTTCCACATAGTGCCTCCTACTGGTACTTAATGAAACTAACTTTTTTCTAGTGTATGGTGCACATTTGACTTTGGGTGGTCTGACAGTTTGTATCACTCTTTGGTGGAAGGCAATATGACCATTATATACCATTACCACACCCTGCCTAGCCTGCATTATTTTGGGGTACAAATATTTTGTTATATTTTGTTATAATAACATTACAGAGAGGCCAAAAGCATGAACCTGGAAAGATCATTATGACCTCTAAGTGAACTTCTAATGAATGGTCACATAGACCTGAAAGCATGTGTAAAGGAACCCTGTAACTTTATGTCTGTGAATATTGCTGCTTCCCAACCCCCTGCCATGTGCATTTCCTCTTGAGTATCATGGGACAAAGAAGTCTTTTAGCATAAAGCAATTAGTCAATCTTTCTGCTATCCCCCATTGTACTTTCCTACACCTGATCCTATCCCAAACTCTCTGGGGCTGTCCTGATCTTACTACTGCTTGATTAAATCAATGTCACTGCCATCAACCAAAAAAAAATCCTTTTGTAACTATGAATTCCCCTCAGGTGGGAATCCCATTATTTGTGGGATTTCTGGAAAATCAAATCCAAATGCCTCAAGTCAAATTTGATGCTTAAAAACCCCTGGTTGGGTGCTCCTATTTTGGTCTGAGTTGGAATCAGGCAGACATGCTGTAGGATTTCAACTGAAACTGCTCAGATTGCTAGCCATATTCAGTCCCAGGTAGTGATCTGAGTCCAACCCATTCTGCATCCTTTCCCCAGATTGGAGCCTGGCTTCTAAAACTGGTAAGTATTGCCCATTGCAATCCTTTAATTTGCTATACACTACTACCTTTTATATCTTAGTGTGTGTGAGAGAGAGAGAGAGAGTGCTTTGTGTGAATGTTGACATCCCTCTAATTGTTCACATAATAACATTGAGTTTTACTTAGCACTCTGGAGTTCTGGTTTTTCAGAACCGGTAAACATAGGCTGAAAAATCCCAGCTAGTGTTACTCTGGCCTTCTTGCTGCTCCTTATGGAGCTAAATTAATTTCCCCATTGAATACAATAAGTAGGTCACCCTATTGAGACACCTTGCAATTTCTGTAACAGT